TTGGTTTTACAAGCCCACTCTTGGTCCAATTATTTGGAGCTAGACAGGAAAGGGTCATTTCATATCAAACATCTCCCCATCTTCCCCTTCCTTTATTCTCCCCAGTTTCTGGTAACAACTGTTCTACTCTTAACTTCTATGAGAACAATTATTTTAGGTTCCACATGAGTGACATCATGTGGTATTTGTTAATGTGCCTGGCTTATTTCACTTAGAAAACTGGGTATTCACATGCAAAAGAATGAAACTTTGTATCTCTTACCACATACAAAACTCAACTTGAAATGGATTAAACACTTGAAAGTAAGACCCAAAACTATGAAACTATTAGAAGAAAACACAGGAGAAACAGTCCATGATGTTGGTCCAAGCAAGGATATTTTTACACAAATGTGAGCAACAAAAGCAAAAATAAACAAATGAGACTACATCAAACTAAAAAGCTTTTGTACAGGCAAGGAAACAATAAACAGAATGAAGAGGTGACCTACAGAGTGGTTGAAAATTGTACATCTGACAAGGGGTTAATATGCAGAATTTATAAGAAACTCAACTCATTAGCAGAAATACCAAATAATCTGATTACAAAATGAGCAAAAAGACTCATATAGATACTTCTCCAAAGAAGACATACAAAGGGCCATCAGATATATGAATAAATGCTCAGCATCACTAACCATCAGAAAAATGCCAATCAATACCACAATTAGATATCACCTTACACCAGTTACAATGGCTATTACCCAAAAGACAAAAAAATAACAAATTCTGGCAAGGACATGGAGAAATGGGAACTCTTTTACACTGTTGGTGGGAATGTAAATTAGTACAGCCATTATGAAAAACAGTATGGGATTTCATAAAAAAATTAAAAATAGATCGAACAGCAGATATTATCCAGCAATCCCACTGCTGTAAATATACCTAGAGGAAATGAAATCAGTACGCTGAAGAGAAATCTACACTCCCATGTTTACTGAAGCACTATTCACAATAGCCAAGGTGTGGAGTCAACATAAATGCACATCAGTGGATAAATGGATAAAGAAAATGTGGTATGTATGCACACAATGGAATACCAGTCAGCCACAAAAAGGGATGAAATTCTGTCATTCACGACAACTTGGATGAGCCTGAAGAACATTATGTTAAGTGAAGCAAGTAATTCCAGTATTTTAAACCATGGTTTAAAACTTAGATTTCATTCATTAGTATCTCCCATATTCTCCCCTTTCTCCCAAAATGAATCAATAAAAACATCCCCTATAGTTTCCTTCCAAAGATGTTATTTCCTAGAGATCCTTTCTCATCTCTGTGTGGGTATCAGCACGACTGGGTAGCAGTCCTGGGCACATGCTTGAGAAAGATAGTACTACTACCCCTCTTTGGTTTATTGTCGTTGCCTTTAAGCTCCACCTTAGGGAATTACCAACACCAAGATATATCCACTCCCCTCCCAGGATTTGGTATTCTTGAACTACTAGGGCTGTTCACTTTCTTTTCAGCATGTATTTTTCCTCAAGGAGGGGTCCTTGGCCCCCTGAAGGTTCACTGAACATTACTGACATGAGGCAGATTGATTAATTAAAAAAATGGCATACAATTTTTTTTAACACATGCACATAGAAGTCTTCAGAATGAAGACCCAACACCCCCACAATGGGATACAGAAGCTTATATGTCATCTGGAGGTTACAGAAAGAATGAGAGCTGAGGGCTCAGTGCATGGCCAAAAGCAGGTGATGGTGGCAAATCAGATTTTAGTGGCAAGACAGGTTATGAGAGGGAGAAGGGAAGAGGCTTGGCTAGCAAAGGTGGTCGTGCTACATAGATGAAACCTTACAGGTAGCAGCCCTCAGAAAGAATAGATGGTAAATGTTTCTTTCAGACCTTTAATGGTATAAATTCCCAGTTAATCTTCCCTAGATTCAGACAAGGGAAGGCTTGGTTCCATTAATGCAAATTCTCTGCAGGTGCAAGTTTCCCCCACAAAAGACAGCTTTGTAGGGCCAGTTCTGATTGATGGCCCCCTGGTAGCCATCTCAAAATATGTCAAGTAAATATATTTTGGGGTACAATATTTTGATTACCTTTAGCAGGAACCACGTCCTTAATGTGCATCTCCATTCTGAAGTGTGCACATCGAAAAAAGAAAAAAAAAAAAGAATTTAAAACTAAAAAAAATGTACATCTCCAGTGGGCCAGTGTCTTCTTTTTCTTCTCTCTGTCATATTCCTACACATTTTATTCTTTGGAGTCTGATCTTGATTCTCTTCTCCTTTAGACCGTTTTATTGAGCTTGGGATGCAGCCACTTTTCCAGAAGGTCTGGAAGTGCCTTTTGGGGGGAGAAGGCTGCTTCCACGTATTGTGTATTTTTAGTCCAATAGAACTTCTTCACTTTTGTTTTCCTTCTACTTTTCCTTCATCCCCATATATAGCATTGGATGAAGTCTTGACCCTCTTCGCCTTTAAAGTTAGGATCTTGCACTTTTTGCCTTTTCTCTTAGAATCCTATTTTATTGGGATTATTTATCTTCAGATGCTCTCTATGAGGCCAATTTCTTTTCAAGCCTCTTTATATTTTCAAGCATGTAAGTTAGCTAGATAGCATTCAACATACTCGTAGTTTATATTTGCTTCTGACAGGAAGACAAAGTATCTTTTTCTCTGCTTGTCATTGAACTACTAAGCATTTGCATTCAGATAAGTCCCAGTGCCATTAGGTCTCATGCATTTTGGTGGTATTGAGATATCAAGATATATATTATCCTATATTGCCTCGTGTTTCGGGAAATCCTGGGACAGTGGAGAAAAACCATCCTCCAAACTGAGATGGTGCCAAGAGACCAAAGAAATGACCCAGACCAATCCATTTGGATGCAGTAGGTGGGTTTATTAGAGGTTACTTACACAGGGCTCTCATTCCTAGTCAAGACAGGAATACTGCAGGCACTCACTCCTGAGCAGCAGCAGGAGTTCTTCAGAGAATAAGATCCACACTGCCTGCCTGTTTGTGGAGCCTTAAATTTCTTTCTGGCAAGGGATGCGGAGCTCTCTCCCTCTCTGCACCATTGTATATTTAAGTACAGTACAGGTTAAGAATGCACGATACTCCCCATTAGGCAGGGTCGTTAGTATTGCAATGAACTAAAGTGTACTATGGCAACTAAGGCACTTAAAACAGCTCAAACTTGTCTTAAGACTTATGACCATCTATGCAAAAGGAGCTATTTAATACCCTTTGTGTTTTGTATTTCCTTCAGCTGTTTTGTTTTGATCTATATCATTAAGTTCAAAAGAAAGCTGCATGAATTCTGTTAAATGTTAAAAGCCAATGGTGGGGAACTTGTATTCTTCCCTCACCTTGTCTCCTTTTATTGTCTATTGGAGTTAAGAGCATAGCCTTAGAGGTCAGATAGACCTCTTTGATACCAGGCAAATTGTTAAAACTCTGTAAGCCTCAGTTTCCTTGTCAGTAAAATGGGGATAACAGTTCTTAAGGCATAGAATTGTCATGAAGATTAAATAAGAATTTCATTAATCTTGAATTAATTAATGTGGGTTGAATATTTACTACGTAGTAAATGCTAGCTTTATTTATTGATGTGATTACTTTTGTTAGATTGTACGCTTCTTGAAATTGTGAACCATATACATCTCAAACTTTATTAAGCAATTAGTATTTAACCCAAGTTTATTGTTATTCATGGCAGGAACCAAGGGGCTTGGCCCTCTAAAGGTTCACTGAAAAATCACTGACATTGAGGCAGATTGATTAATAGGAGAAAAAGCATGCAAATTTATTTAATGTGTATACATGGGAGCCTTCAGAATGAAGACCCAAAGATACAGAGGAGATTGACCATTTTTATGCTTAGGTTCAATAGAGTGTGGACAGCCATATAGAAATATGAATGGACAAAAGGGCATGCGCTCTAATGTTAACAGACTGAGTGGGAAAACCCAGAAAGACCTGTATAGATTCTTCATGTCCTCTCTGAGCACACATTCCTTCCTTCTAGATGTGGGGCTGGACCCTCATTGGAATGGGGGTCTTATGACCTATAGTCAAACAGAAGAGGTCAGATAATTCTTTTATGGCCAGATTTTATACAAAATAATTTTAGGTTTTATGGCTGACTTTCAGGAAAAGGGGCTGTGGCTTTTATGACCCACTTTGGAGAAAAAGGACTCTAGTTTCTATGTCTAGCCTCATGGAAGAATAACACTGAGAGGCAGGAGGACAGGAAAAGGTCAGAGAAAACTTTTGTTTCTGAGGCCTTCATTTATATAATAGTTATATTTAATGATAAGAATGCCAGAAAAAGAAACATACTGAAATTAAGATTATTAGATTTGATTCTAGTTTCATGCGATGCTTTATTTCCTTCAAATTTGTAAGTTGTGCTTACTGCATTTTTTTCTCCTATTCTGACTTTAAAATTTTTCTTTAAAAACATTACTCATTTCTGAAACTTTCTTTTATCTTTTATTTTTTCTGGGTGGGTGGGATTTAAATTCAAATTCCACCAGTACTTTTAAGTGTCATCTATGTACCAGGCTTTGTGCTAGGTGCTTGAACATATCTAGCTATTATCTCCCTTTCGTAGATTAAAAAAACCAAAGCTCAGAGAATCTAAGTGAATGGCCCCAAATCACACAGTTATTAAGTAGCAGCTGCAAGAATGACAAATAAGCCTTAACCGTAAACCAGTGAGAAAGAACTTTAGGCACAAGATGACCAAAGAGTATGGAAGTATAGAGAGAGCTGGATTTTTTCTTCAAAAGAGGGTGGGGAGGAGAGCCAGGGAAATATTGAGAAGAGAATGAAATTTAATCTATGAGTCGGCCAGTCAGTTCATAAACAATTAGAGTTGACTAATCTGGAAAAAATATTTTTCACTTTATTTCCTCTCGTCTCATGTTAGTTATATATAATGGTTTATATTTATGGCACATAAATGCAAAATAGATAAATTACCACTAACTAGAAGATACAATGGCAGACATTTGAGAAAAGTATTTTATTTTATGATATGTGGATTATGAGCATATTAGTAGGCTTTTAATATATAAAGAATGGTTCCCATGGAAGAAAACCAGTTATCAATGTTTTCAATGATAGTACATGTGTCCTTTCACCAAATTTAGTTACACTTTTCATAATATAAAACTAATCCTTGAAATGCTTGGTAAATATGCCGATTCTGGGTACAAATGAATCCTCCACTTCTGAAGGCTTGGGATGCGCTCCGATTTATGTCTCCAATACATGTCCAGTGATTTTTGGTGCCCTTTTGGGAAATACACCACTTGGAGTGATCCTGAGAAGAATTGAAATAAGTTTGTTGAGACAACTTAATTGCTTTGATATTGTAGACATGGTAAGGAAGGGAGCAGTTTGAAGGAAGATCTTGTCCTGTTCGTTGCCAGGTTTCTGTTAGCAAGTGTGTCTTCAGCTGTGGAGCCATCCAGGCTGCAAAGATGTCTAGGGTTTAGGAGGAGAAAGATAGTGAGGTTGGTGTTTACATTTAGATAAGTCTCTGAAAATATCCTCAGGAGTGGAAATCATCATTCACCCCTGATATGTGGATGTCATTAGTACAATAATAACAACATAATTGAGATAGTAGAGGAGAACATTTTTTTAAATGCTAAAGTGATATGCAAACAAAAGTTATCGTCATTACTATGATGATGTTGGTGTCTGCACACATCTTCTGTGCCACACAAACAAGGGAGCGATATATATTTTTGTCCTGAAAAGGCCTTTGAAAAGAATAAAGCTAGAGAAGTGTTTTAGGGGCCAGTTTCTAGAAATCTTTGTAAGCCATGCTAAAATGTTTGAATTTTCCTGAAATCGGTACGGAATTTATGAAAGAATGTTAGTGGACAATTAATACAAACTGGTTTCTGATCATAAATATCAGTGGAGAGGAAATGTGCAGGATGAATTGGGAAGCATGAGTTAGAAAGTAGATAGGAAAACCATAAGGTTGTCACAGCAACGGTGACAATAAGCAAAGGTATGTTTAGTGGCAGAGAGTTGGGAGAGGATAAGATACATGTAAGTGTTATTAAGGATCTGGAACTGACTGAATTTGATGGTTTGATAGAAGAGTGAGAAAAACAAGAGATCTAGAACACCTGGGTGACTGTGCAGAGCACAAGAAAAAGAGTGGGTTTGTGGGGGACGATGACGAGTTGAGTTCGGTGTGTTGAATTTGGTGTGGCTGTACCACTTCCAAGCAGGAATGTCCCACGCACTGCTGAATACATCTGTCACTGTCCGGGGTAGAGATCCAGACTTAGGAGTCACTCGAGGGCTGACCGCAATTGCCCAGCATGGGTATGTAGACTGAGAGGAGGGAGGGCAGAGGACCACATGGCTGCCCAGTCACCTAAAGAGCTGTCAGAGGAGGACGACCTGGCAGAAGAGACTTAACAGAAGTGGGAGGACTGTATACTCCCAAAAACCAGTGAAGGGGAATGTTTCAGAAAGGAAAGGATTTCAACAATGCCAAATTCTGCAGAGACTATTTCTATCTGTGAAGTTTCGGATTTCTAGTGCCTAACACAGGGCTTGGCTAGTGGAAGCATTCAGTAAATTTTATTCAATGTGTAAGAAAGGAAGGAAGAAAGTTAAGGAAGGAAGACAGCGAGGTGATCTAAAACAGCCATTGGTGACTGGGGAGAGCTTAGAGTGTCTATAGACAGAAGCAAGCCTGTAGTCAAGGAGCACTGAGGAAGTGAGGTCCCTGAAGAGTCTTTAAAAAATAAATCTGGAAGAAGAGGAACAAATAGAGATACAGAGGATTTAGAATTGAGGGGGGTGGTGTTGAGGGATGTTTCTATGCTATGAGGAAGGAGCCTGGAGAGTGGGAGAGTTGAAACAGAAGAGGGAGAATAGATCAAATGGACACATCAAAGTATTTGGAGGCTGGGATAGGTTCCAGAGCACAGGGGTGCATCACTTCTTTTGGGATGGGAAGAAACCTGGTAAAAAGGAATGGAAACAGGTACGATTATTGGATGGGTGGGGGTGTGATATCGAAGTGGTTACTTCCTAGTGATCTTTCTTCTCTTTATGAAGAAGTCAAGCTATGAGTGAGTGGGTAGGGTGATGTAAAGGACCTGAGAATAAGGAAGGCTTAACATAGCTGTTTAGGGAATGGGAGAAGAGGAAAGGGCTGTGGCCCCATGCCAAGCACAGGCTGGAGACTGAGTTTTCACTGGCGCCTAGCTGAGCAGTTGTGAGAAACTTTTGTGGACGAGTCAGTAACCATGCTATTCAAGAGTAGCAGGCAGATGTTTGAATTGGTCCTTGACTTCCCTTTTCCCTTTCCTTCCTCTTTCCTCCCTTCTTTTCTATTTTTTTTCCTCTGAATAATCAGACTATTTCCTCTAAGCAATCCACAGTGAATCCAACAGCAGAGTTATATAGCATATTGTTTGACAATGGGTTTTCATACCATCAAGAAAAGAATTAGACTTTGCAAAATGGAGGAAATTTTCTCCCTGGACTGACTGAAGTCTGGTGAGGTGCCTGCCAGGGATCTTTGATGAGCTGGACCTGGTGCACAGCTGGAATATGTGAACGAGCTTCTGGTGAAAGGTGGCTGGGATGGAACAACTATAGATGTTTGGGTTGCAGACCAAGAGCTGAGAATCTGAATCAAGAATCAATTAAAAAAAAAGAATTAAGACACAAATGAAAATGCCTATTGACATTATAGATCTTGTTGTGGATTACCAAACAAAATGAGGCCAGGTGCGGGGGCTCATGCCTGTAATCCCAGCACTTTGAGAGGCCAAGGCAGGAGGATTGCTTGAGGTTAGGAGTTTGAGATGAGCCTAGGCAACATAGCAAGACCCTGTCTCTACAAAAAATAAAAAAGTGGCATGCACTTATAGTCCCAGCTACTTGGGAGGGTGAGGCAGGAGGATTGCTTGAGCCCAGGAGTTCAAGGTTGCAGTGAGCTATGATTGCACCACTGCACATTAGCCTGAGAGACAGAGCGAGACCCTGCCTCAAAAAAAAAAAAAAAAAAAAAAAAAAAAAAAAAAAGAAAAGAAAAGAAAAGAAACAATAGCCTTCAAATGACTTTCGGTTAAAATAACTGACATCTGTTGAGTACTTCCTACTTTCTAGATACTGTTCTGTAAGTTTTATGTGGGTTTACTCTTTTAATCCTCATAGCAACCTTATTATTAGGCAAGTTCTGTTGTCATTATTCTCATTTTATAGATGAATTAACTGAGAATTTATGTTACATACCCAAGGTTATAAAGCTTGTACCTGAGGGAGTTGGCATTCAAACCCAGGCAGTCTTGCCTTGGAGACCATATGTTTTTTTTCTCCTAAACGTACACATACAAAAATGGAGAACTCCATGCACCAGTCATCCAGCTTTGAGAATAATCAGCCCAATCTCTTTTATATTCAGCTCTGTAATCATTATGTGAACTCAGCTGGTAACTAGAGCTTGACTTGTGCAAGTAGCTCAGTGATCCTTGCCATAAGATAGAAATTTGATGAGAAACATTTTCTAAACCTTCTGTATCTAGACGTAAGTCACTCTTTACTGCTATTTAGCAATCAAATTTCTCAGTAAAAAGTGATTGGTAGATCTGTACTTTTCCTCTCCAACCATGGTTTTCTAAATCTAAGTATTTTTGGCTATTTGAGCTTGAGCTCTTAAAGAAAGATTATCTGCCTCAGAGGTGTCATGCTGGCAGCTTATAGGCAACATGTGGTCTGCAAATTTGAAAAAAAGAAAAACTAAGATTGAGCCTATATTTAAATATCAGAAGTTTTCTCTTTCTCTCTCTCACTCTCACACACACACACAGACACATACACACACATGTACATACACAACATACCCCCTAGGTTTCTGTTTCCTCACGAAAAATATAATCAGAAAAATATAATCTTCTGTAATCAGAAGATCTATATTCCAACAAAGCTGCAACACCATGGAGCTGAGGCCTTCAAGGGAAGCAAGGGGAGAGTTAACACCCCATTTTGTCACTCTGCCCACTTCGCATGTAATATCTGTCTGTTTCACCCATTTTTGTTATCTACCTGGCCCCTGGATATGTTCAAAATTACTGCCCCAATAAAGTTTAACAACTTCATTGGTAAACTAAGAACCAAAGCCTAGTAAGTGAGCCTGCCCAAGGCCTTACCAGGCAAAGCAAATATTAAAATCTAGCTATCAGAAAGTCTATGAATAGATTAAAAAATGGAGTAACGCATTCATTAATTCATTTCCAAATCCCTTCTTCAACATCGCTATCTCTCTTTTTTTTCTTTTACATACTCTAATTTTACCTATTGCTTCATACTGGTTGTACTTCAAAGTTATGCAGATGCCACTCTGTCCATTTCGTCTCCCTGTGGGTGGATAATCATAGCCTTCTTCAGGAATTGGAGGAAACCGGGGAATAGAATGAATCAGCCAGAACCCCTGGACTCTGTTCCACAGCATTACACCTACCAAAGATACATTTAATACAAACAAATCAGAAAAACAAAGCTCCTTTTAATATAGGGTTCAAAGCTGCAGCACTTAAGCCCATTATGGTTTAGGCTAATGTTTTATTAGGGCTAACAATCACAGGGATCATGCTCATTTTTCAAAGACTGCAAAAACAATTCTGGCACACATCACATTGCCCCAGAACTGATAACAAGGCACCACACAAAGGGAGCCAAGGCAGCCATCCTGTGAAGGGTTAAGAGGAATCTCATGTGGAAACCACAAGGAAAATTTGTTTCGGCGGAATACAAATTTGCTAAATTGGAATTTGAACTTGTTGAATTGTACAGTCACCTGGCAAGATTTAGATAGTATTTTCACTGCTGAGCAGCTAAGCTATTTTCAAAGCTGACTAAAAAACAGTTGAAAGAGAAAATATCAAATGAAGAAATGTACTTGCAGTAATTTGTTGAAAGAAACTGATGGTCATTTATTGATGAAAGAGTCACCCAATTCTACAAGCCCAATAAAAGAGGCCAAGAGAAAAAAAGGAAGCCTTGCTAAAGCATCTTATTTAACCATGTTTAGTAAAAATCTCTAGAGCAAAATAACATGAAGGCCAGAAGGGAAGCAGATAGAAATATTTTATTATCTTGTTACATGCCCAAAAGAATCCTGTTAAACAGGTGCCTATGACTATTTATTTCTGTGTTTGTAAATATTAATATATCAGGTAGGTTTGGTATGGTAGTTAGACTTTCCAGTTTGCATTTGACCATGCAAGCATAACATTCATTTATGTTTGCCTTATTGTTGGAGTGGAAACTAAATGCCTGCTCCTTATTTGTTTTTCAAAGAGCACACCTTAAGAAAATGTTCTGTTGCTCTTTTGGTGGAAAAGTAATCAATACCTATGTCATGCTGGAAAATATTGAAAGTTCTGTTGCCTAATAGAGCAGGATGACCTTCAAGAGGTCTCCTCTGCCCAGATGAGTGTGCTATTTTGGTGGAATCCTAAGCTCCTGGCACAAATGCCATAGGATGCTAGGGCATCTGTTGGCAAAGTGAGCCCCCCTTGACATTGGGCCTCACTCCTTTTATAGCCTTTTCTTTAAACTTCTGCAGCAACTAACACAGTAGAGCAGGAGTAGTGGTGGGAGATTGTTGGAGGATGTGGCATGTTATAAAAATTGTTGGGCTCTCTGTAAATAGGGCCATCAGGAGGGCAACTTGGCTAAATAAAAAGCTTTTAATGCTCGTAACCTTTGACAGACATTACAAATTATATTCTTAATCACAGGCTGCAAAGGCAGGCCCTGGGGCAAATCCAGATCCATTTTATTAGGCTTGCAGAATATTTTTTTTAAAAAAAACTTTGGACTTGTTGCCAACAATTAAAAACCGAGGAGATATTCCACAAATACTAATTTTCAACTCTCTTGAAAAATTGCATCCCTGTCAGGCAAGCTGAATAGAAACTATCCCTTATAAACCAAGTTCTAGTTCACACCACTTGGCTTGCTGACATCACTTGCCTGCTCCCTGAAGCCATTTGAATTTGGAATCTTTTGAAGAGTATTTGTTACCATGGAAAGTTATTCATAATATATTAAATTGAAAACAAGGAAAAAAATTGAAAAAAGGTTGAAAAATAGTAATTACAATACTTTTATAAAGATGTTTTAAAATATATATTGATAATGTAGGAAAAGTAAAAAGGATTAAATGTATTTCTCTAATGGGCACTGGGATTACAGATTTTATGTTTACTTACATTTTGAATTTTTCTATAATGCAGAAACATATATGCATAATTTAAAAATAGAAAAATCACAAAAGTTAGCACAATGCAAATTACTACATATGATAATAATGTATAATAGCAATATATAACAAAATGTATAATAAGAAAATTACTATAATACAAAAAATGATTTAAAAATGCTTTTTCATTTCAAAGGGAACTCTACATTAAGGAGAGTTAATTTTACTATATGTAAATTATACCTCAGTAAATCTAACTAAAATGTGTGTGTATACACTATGTATATATCCACATATATACATATACATATATATATAAATATAGGCTCATTGGTGTATGTATATATATACTGTCTGATATTCCCAGTAGTCAGTACTTGGATTTATGCTATAAAGTATATATTTAGAAATATATTAAGAAATAAAATAGGATTTCTGAAAGTTGAATTGTCAAGTCAAATTATATAATCACTTATATTATAATTTGTGATATTGAAATACATTTCAACAATTCAAAATAAACCATTAAGAAGAAAAGCTATCTTTTTAACAGGGAATGTAAGAATGCTCAAGATGAAATGTTTAAGAAAATGTTGATTTCCAACAGGAAAGAGAAAGAAAGAGCCTTCGTCATACCTTTGGTGTGTCCATACTTTGTGCTATAGGTCACAGTTTTAGGGACTCCATCATTGTATATTAGGTAGGCTGTGTTGTTATTCTGCAGGAATATATTAGGGTTATAATGGTGTAAGTCTTCCACTCACAAATGCTCACAACATTTCTACCAGCTACCCAGCCTGCAATACAGAGCTTTCATTAATACTCATGAGAAGTCATCCGTTCCCCTAATAGGCATCTTCCCCATCAGTATGAATTCTGTGACATGCAAGACAGGGGGAAGAAGTCCATTCGCAACCACGCACGATTTCAACTCACGTAAAAGGAGCTCTACTCATTGTGAGGTGTGTGTGTGAGGACAATATTCCTATTTCTCTTGGTTATTTTGGAACCAGGTTTCTGATTAAGCAACTGGCATACAATAAAGAAATACTGAATTATTTGTCTAGGAAATGAAGTAGGAACAACCAGCCAAGGATTACACCTGGGTTTTTTTCCACTGGTATTATAGGCACAGTGATGCAGAACTGGCTGTCAGGATCTGATTTCCTCTGCCTACTTTGTGCTTCACTTCACTGCTTGGTCATAGCTTTGTGCTTAATCAGGAGTCCTCATTATCTGCTCCCCTTTCCTCCTCAATATGGGAGGATTTTTCTGCAATCCATTTCTCAGCATCACTTCACGTTTCTAACTTGATATTTTCCTGCTTAGAGAAAGTGTTGAAATTTCACATGTGATATTGGATTTCCTCTGGTAAGGCAGAATGTGAGTCTATTGTCTAAACAGCCAAATCTCTGAGTCAAAGCTAATATTTTGATAGTGTCTGTTTGTCATGTTTTGGAAACTTGCTAATATTTGTTCTGGGTGGTTCCATTTCATTTGTGTCATAATGCAATGGGTTTCATTAGAGCCAATAATAATGTTCATATTTTAAAAAAACCTCAGTGACATAATTAAAAGCAGGAAAGGACAACCTATCTCCTTTTAAAAGGCCCTTGCTTTTCTCTCAGGAAAAAAGTCGATAATGAAATCTCTCACAGCTGCTTAATTATTTGATGTAATCAAAAACATTTAAAAAATGCACAACATATTCAGTGTAGCATTCTTGGCTGCTATGTTTAGGAATATCCAGGAAAGTAAGCTTTTTCTTACCCTCATTTTCCATAATTGACCATAGCTGCAGAATGGCATTCACACCGTCCTTCTCTGGAGAACTCTAACAGTTAGTTACTCTATGAGCCAACACTGAATTTGGAAATGAGGCCATTTGTGTGCCTTCGGGCTACAACATGGAGGGATTCTGGGAAGATCCAATGAGGAACTTTATAATAGATAAAGTTTGTTATTCTAATCAGGAGTGTAACAGCCAGCTAAGGTTAAATGGGTTGTAGACTTACTGGGAAGAGAGGTTATTGATAAAGGGAAAAGATCATGGGGCTTAAGAATAGGTAGACATAGGAGTGTGACTTTGGACAGTTTTATTCCTTTAACACATTTGTTGGGTATTGTTTTGACTATTGGATATTGAAAAAGTAAGGTACAGTCTCTGCTTTCAGTCTAGCAGGAAATACAGAGAGGCAGGTACAGGCCACTGCAAAATAGTTTCGTATTTATGAAGGTGTATGGAAGGTTCTTATTTGCAGAGGCAAAAGAAGAGAAACAATTCCAAATGTACCTAGCTATTGTCCTTGGTCACCTTGACATTTGAGATTTAAAACCAGTTGGTCTGATCTTGCATTCTAGTCTCTGTTAGAAGTTCAATTCCAGGTCAGGGGGTAGGGAAGTTATGTTTTCACAGTCACTTCTGGCACATAATTCCAGTTTCTAAAGAACACTCACCGGGACTGCTATTGCTCTCTTCTTTTGGCTCCATGCCAATCAGACAGGGAAATCAGCCCCTGCCTCCTTTTTTGACATTTTTTCTCCCAGAACCAATCACTCAAGACCTTACACATGAGCAGATTTTACTGAAGGTAAGAAATTTTGCGTGGTTTTACATCACCAAGAGACCGTACCCCAGCCTCCGTCCATATTTATTGCACTTTTTAATTCCTGGCTCCCTTCCACCCCTTTTTTGTTTTACAGAGCAATTTAGCTCTCTCTCCTTCCTAGGGTCTGGGGCTACCTTTGAACCTCCACTGATCATTATTGTATTCTGCTAACTAAGAGCCATCTATTCCAACTAAGGTAAATGACAACTAAGGTAAATAACAGAGTACAGTGTTACTCTGTCCTTTTTCCTTTTAGCAATCTCTGTGATGGAGATGGTAACTATGTAGGCATTTATTTTCTTGCTGATAGGTTATATTCCTGGTCCCCACCCTCAGCCTTGGAAAGCAGAAGCAGCTGCAGGCAGTTTTCATTTTACATGATACAGTTGACTTTTGAACAACACAGGTTCGAACTGCATGGGTCCACTCATATGCAATTTTTTTCCCAACAAATATATTGGGAAATTTAGGAAGAGGGATTTCTAACAGTTTGAAAAAAACTTGCAGATGAAATCCATAGCCTAGAAATATTGAAAAAATTAAGAAAAAGTTAAGTATGTCATGAATGCATAAAATATATGTAGATACTAGTGTTTTTTATAACTTACTACCATAAAATAGATACAAATCAATTATAAAAAGTTAAAATTTATCAAAACGTATGCACACATTTATAGACTGCACATGGTGCCATTTGCCATAGGCAGTGGAGGGTAATGTAAACAAATGTAAAGATGCAGTATTAAATCATAACTGCATAAAATTAATTGTAGCACACACTATACTACTGTAATAATTTTGTAGCTACTTTCTGTTGCTACTGAAGTGAGCTCAAGTGTTGCAAACATCCCTTTAAAATGCCATGTGACACTAATCATCTTCACATAAGCAGTTCATCTCTCCAGTAAATTGCACATTACAGTAAAAAGTGATCTCTCATGGTTCTTGAGTATGTTTCATCATGTTTGGTGTGATACCATAAACCTTGAATAATAAAGAAGTAGTACCACTAGTGATGCTGGAAATGCTCCCAATAACCAGAGAAAAGTCATGACTTTACAATAAAAGTTGAATTGCGTGATAAGTATCATAAGTTGAGGTCTACAGCTGCAGTCGCCCACTCTTTCTAGATAAATGAATCAGTGTAAAGACCATTGGAAAAAAAAGAAAAGGAAATTTGTGAAGCTGTTGTTGTAGCTAAGCCAGCAGACACAAAAACCTTGTACTTTTTGTGAAATACCTTTTTATCTCATATTGAAAATGAAACTTTTATGTGGGTGCAGGATTGTTATAAGAAACGCATACCTACAGACTCCAACAGGATTCAAGAAAAAGTGAAGTCATATATGACCACTTAAAGCAAAAGCAATGTGAAGAATTTAAAGCTGGATAATTTAATGCCAGCAAAGGATGGTTTAATAACTTTAGAAAGTGGTTTGGCCTAAAAAATGTCAAGATAACAGGAGAAGAACTTCTTCCAACCAAGAGGCAGCAGATGAGTTCACAGGCATCTTTAAGAAAATCACTGAGAATATCTGCCTGAACAGGTTTTTAATGTAGATGACAGTGCCCTATTCTAGAAAAAAGGTGCCACAAAGTAAGAAAGAGAAGTGAGCATTAGGATTTAAAGCAGTGAGGGATGGGGTAACTCTACTGTTTTGTGCAAATGGAGTTAGTTTATAACCAGGACTGCTCTTATCTATAAAGCTGCTAACCCCCTAGCCTTGAAGGGAAAAGATAAATACCAGCTGCCAGTCTTTTGGATGTGCAAAAAGAAGACTTAGACAACAAGAACCCTTTTTCTGGATTGGTTCTATTAGTGTTTTGTCCTTGAAGCCAGGAGATACCTTGCCAGTAAGGAACTGCCTTTTAAAGTTATTTTGATATTGGATAATGTCCCTGGCCACCCAGCACCCCATTTCAACACCAAAGACATTGAAGTTATCTACTTGTCCCCAACACAATGTCTGTGATTCAGCCTCTAGATCGGGAGGTTGTGAGGACCTTTAAGACTCATTACATGTGGTACTCTATGGAAAGGATTGTGAACACTATGGAAGAAAATCTTGACAGAACGTCATGAAAATCAGTAAGGATTACACCATTGAAGATGCCATTATTGTTATAGGAAAAGCCATGAAAGTTCTTAAGTCTGAAACAATACATTCCTGCTGGAGAAAACTGTGTCCAGATGTTGTGCATGACTTCACAGGATTTAGAATGGAGCCAAGCAAAGAAATCATGAAAGAGATTGTGGATATGGCCAAAAAAAGTGTCGGGAGTGGTGGTGGTGGTGAAAGGTTTCAAGGTATGGATCTTGGAGAAATTCAAGAGCTAATAGACACCACAGCAGAGGAATTAATAGATGACTTAATGGAGATAGGTGCTTCTGAACCAGTGCTAGACAATGAGGAAGAAGTTGTAGAAGAAGCAATTTCAGAAGACAAATTGACATTAGGCAATCTGCCATAAGGGTTCTGATTATTCAGCACTGCTTTTAATTTGTTTTATGACATGGACCCTTCTATGATATGGACACTGAAACTAAAGCAAATGGTGGAAGAAAGATTGGTACTACATAGAAACATTTTTAGAGAAATGGAAAAGCAAAAAGTCAGCCGACAATATGATCTTATTTCTAGAAAACCTCAAAGACTCCACCAAGAGTCTCCTGGAATTGATAATTAAATTCAGGAAAGTCTCAGGTTATAAAATCAATGTACACAAACCAGTAGCATTTCTGTACACCAATAACAGTCAAGCTGAGAATCACATCAAAGACTTAATACCATTCACAATAGATACCAAACAAATAAAATACTTAGGAATATACTTAACCAAGGGGGTGAAAGATCTCTACAAAGAGAACTATGAAATATTGAGGAAAGAAATCACAGACAACACAAACAAATGGAAAAACATATCATACTCATGGATAGGTAGAATCAACAGTGTTAAAATGTCCATAGTACCCAAAGTGATTTACAGATTCAACACAATGCCTACAAAATACCAATGTGATATTTTACAGATTTAGAAAAAAATAATTCTATGCTTCGTTTGAAACCAGAAAAGTGCTCAAATAGCCAAAGCAATCTTAAGCAAAAAGAATAAATCTGGAGGCATCACATTACCAGACTTCAAACTATACATCAAGGCTATAGCAACCAAAACAGCATGGTATTGGTACGAAAATAGAGACACAGACCAGTGGAACAAAACAGAGAACCCAGATATAAAACCATCCACATACAACCAACTTATCTTTGGCAAAGCAGACACTGGGGAAAAGAAGCCTTATTCATAAGGAAAATTGGATAGCCACATGCAGAAGATCAAGATCCATATATTTCACCACTCACAAAAATTAATTCAAGATAGATAAAAGCCTTAAATGTAAGGCATGAAACCAAAGGAATTTTAAAAGAAAATATTAGAAAAACTCTTCTAGATATTGGCCTAGGCAAAGAATTTATGAAGAAGATCCCAATGGCAGTCACATCAAGAACAAGAATATATAAACAAATAAATGGGATCTGATTAAATTAAAATGTTTCTGCACAGCTAAGGAAATAATCAACAGAGCAAATAGACAACTTACAGAATGGGAGAAAATATTTGCAAGCTATACATCAATAAAGGGCTACTAACCAGAATCTATAAAGAACTCAAGCAAATCAGCAAGAAAAAAATAAACAACCCCATTAAAAGTGGGCAAAAGACATGAACAGAAGCTTTTCAAAACAAGATAGACTAATGAATGGCTAATAAACGTATGACAAAAATGCTCAACATCACTAATTATCACGGAAATGCAAATTAAACCCACAATGAGATATCACCTTAGCTAAATTAGAATGGCTTTTATTAAAAAGTCTAAAAACAACAGGTGCTAGGCTAGCATGGATGCAAAGAGAAAGGAATGCTTATACACTGTTGGTGGGACTGCAAATTAGTACAACCTCTATGGAAAATAGTTTGGAGATTCCTCAAAGAACTAAAAGTAGGCCTATCATTTAATCTAGCAATCCCACTCCTAGGTATTTACCCAAAGGAAAATAAGTCATTTTACCAAAAAGGCACTTGCACTTGAATATTTATTGCAGCAGAATTCACAATTGCAAAGATGTGGAATCAACTCAAGTTCCCATCAATTCATGAGTGGGTTAACAAAGTGTGATATATCATGTTTCTCTGAAAATAAGACAGGGTCTTATATTTATTTTTCCTCAAGAAGACACCCTAGGGCTTATTTTCAGGGGATGTATTTTTTTTAAGTACAGTACAGCAATCTACATTTATTCAAATATAGTCGTCTTTTTCTGGAACATCATCATAACTCTCCAAACCCTTAATTCCATCCTGAATTTCTTGCAACTCTATTTCCTTTAGAACCATTGGCCCCAATCTCTCATGTCGAGCAATAGAGCTCTCATGGGGCAGATGAGAAGGGCTGCTTGTCTTCTTTACCACTCTGAGACAAAATGCGTGGGTTGTGCAGATATGCTGCGCAGCCACGCCCATCACTAGGTCTTATTTTCGCAGTAGGACTTATATTGCGCAAATGCTTAGAAATTCTGCTAGGGCTTATTTTATGGGTAGGTCTTATTTTCAGGGAAACATGGTATGTATACTATGGAATACTACTCTGCCACGAAGAAGGATGAATTAAGGCCTTTTGCAACAATTTGGATGAAGTAGAGACCATATACTAAGTGAAGTATCTGAAGAATGGAAAAACAAACACCACATGTACTCAGTATTAAACTGGAACTAACTGATGAACATACATGTGCATAGACTCAGGGAAGTAAAACTCAGTGGAAATTAAGCAGGGGGGGAGGGGAAGGAGGAGATGGGCAAAAACCTACCTAATGAGTACAATGAACACTGTCTGTAGGATGGGCACACTTATAACCCTGATTCGAGCATAACAAAATTGATACATGTAACCAAAAACATTTGTACCCCATAATATTTTGAAATAAAAAAAATTAAGAAACATGTGGTGGTCAGGGTATAAAATGCAATATGGACTACTGAGTAAAGTTGGGGATATGTAGGACTCTACCAAATTTCATAAAAACATGAAAATCTAAAACATCATAAATTTCCAAGGTAGAATATGTATTAACCCACTTTTAATTATTATAAAGAATACCTTTCTTAAAAGAAAAAGCAAAAAGTCAGATAGAAATCACAAAGTATTTTCTGTAAAGTCACACCAATTGTGCCTGCCTCTCCTGCCTTCCCTTCTACCTCCTCTACCTCTTCTGTCTCTGCTGCCCCTGAGACAGCAAGAACAATCCCCCTTCCTCCTCCTCAGCCTACTTACTTAACATGAAGATGACAAAGATGAAGACTTTTATGATGTTCCATTTCTACTCAATGAATAATAAATATATTTTCTCTTCCCTATGATTTTCTTAATAATATTTTCTTTTCTCTAGATTATTATAAGAATACAATATATAATACATATAATATACAGATATATATTCATCAACTATTTATGCTATCAGTAAGGCTTACTGTCAATAGTAGGTTATTAGTAGTTAAGTTTTTTGGGGAATCAGAAGTTGTGCATGAATTTTCAGTTGCACGGGTCTAGGTGTCAGCACCCCTAACCCCCACATTGTTCAGGGGTCAACCATAGTCTGTTTATTCAAAGCAGGGTTGTTCTTGAGATTAAGTAATTTTTAAAAGCATCTAGAACAGTGCTTGGCACATCACATTTACTCAAACAGCCTACAAATAGGTTTTTTTTTTTTTTTATTTTGGCATATTATGGGGGTACAGATTTTAAGGTTTCAATAAATGCCCATTTCCCCCCCTCCCCCCAAAAGTCTGAGTCTCCATCATGACCATCCCCCAGATGGTGCACATCTCACTCACTATGTATGTATATACCCGCCCCCCTCCCCCCTCCCACCTGCCCAATACCCTATTACTGTAGCACCTATGTGTCCACTTAGGTGCTACTCAGTTAATACCAGTTTGCTGGAGAATATATCTGGTGCTTGTTTTTCCATTCTTGGGATACTTCACTTAGTAGTATGGGTTCCAGCTCTAACCAGGAAAATATAAGATGTGCTATATCACCATTGTTTCTTAGAGCTGAATAGTACTCCATGGTGTACATATACCACATTTTATTAATCCATTCTTGGATTGATGGGCACTTGGGCTGTTTCCACAGCCTTGCAATTATGAATTGTGCTGCTATAAACATTCGAGTGCAGGTGTCTTTTTTGTAGAGTGTCACTGGATCATACAAATAGGTTTTAACATTGTAATGTGGCTCTGAAGGCTGGTCCTAATGGCAGGTAAATAAAATGAATACTACCACACACAGTAACAGCTCTCTGTACATTTTGAGTAAATACACAGATACACCTGTGCAGTAGGGCTAGAGGCTAAAACAGTATTGTTGTAGGCGCTACATTACTTGACATATATAAAGGCCCAACACAGAGCTCAGCATATTATAGAAACTGAGCTGTTTTATATATTTACTTCTCTATAAATTATTGTTAGGAATTATATACATGAGTTATTGCTCGATTTTACTTGTCATCCCTGGCTGGAAAGCAGTATCTTGCCACTGAACAACAGATGGTGCCTGGCACATTGGGAGGCTGCCCACATTAAGCCAACAGGCCTATTTACCTGTGTCTTTTTGGCTGGTTAGCTCATTCATTGCCTGATGAAGTCCAATAGAGGTTTAATCTCCATTCAGGCAAGTTGCTTCTAAGGCCTTGAACTACAGACCTACTTCTCAACCTATCATTTTGAAAATAATTAAGTCAAAGGAAGAAAATCTTTACTTAGATCACTACCACTCATCAACACCGTGACATAAACAAACCCATAACTGCTAGCATATTGACCGTGGATCTCGGTGGCCTTGTAGCAGCAGAGGAGACTCTTCTCCCTGTGTCTACTACATGAAGAAGATAACAAGTACTGAGTGAGTTGGCAGAGCTTTTGGCAGCCAGAAGATTTCAATATACAATTAGTTCACACTTTGCCCAGTGATATACTACTGGACATGGTGCCAAGTGAGCCCACAATTTGGCATTGCTGTAGAGTATGATGATATATTTCCAAAAGTCATGGTCATGTTGATTCAGGTAGTTGTTTGGGGCTACTTCTGAGCTAGCTTACTTCAAGATGCTAGGATTGGGGGTCGGTGGGCGAGTAGGAAAAATCTTTTGAGAGCTTTAGATTCTGTTTATGCATTTTATGTTATTCAAATGAATAATTAACTTTAACATACCTTAGAGGCATATGCTTCATATAGCTGGTGTAACGTCCTTCCCAAAACACTCTTGGTGGTATTCATTGGCTGCTTACTCCTCCTCCAGCTTCTAGTTGTAGAGTCTAGGTACAGGTACTCTAACCCACTCCCTTTACTTTCCTTCTTTTGTCTTTTAACTTGTATGGGTAATTTATAAAAGGTAAACCTAACAAAGGAAATAATTATGAATTATTAACATTTATTGACTGCTTTCCTAGGGGCAGTAACCGTTACACACTTTAATATATCTCTCACTGACGTGTTGCAGAAGGCCTCTAAGAAAAGGGATTGGCTCAAGCTCTCTGCCTCTTTCTCTACCTTTCTTCTTCTTTTTTTTTTTTTTTTTTTTCTCACTTTGTTGCCTAGGCTAGAGTGAGTGCCATGGCGTCAGCCTAGCTCACAGCAACCTCAAACTCCTGGCTCAAGCAATCCTTCTGCCTCAGCCTCCCAAGTAGCTGGGACTACAGGCATGCACAACCATGCCCGGCTAATTTTTTCTCTATATATTAGTTGGCCAATTAATTTCTTTCTATTTATAGTAGAGATGGGGTCTCGCTCTTGCTTAGGCTAGTTTTGAACTCCTGACCTCGAGCAATCCGCCCGCCTCGGCCTCCCAGAGAGCTAGGGTTACAGGCGTGAGCCACCGCGCCCGGCCTCTCTACCTTTCTTTTTGCTTCTTTCCAGAGAAGGAAATATAAAGCTGACTGGATATGTATGTTCTAAGACATTTATTGGCCTGGTGGGTGGGGTCCCTGAAGTGGATGTTCATGTACTTTGAGAGTGGCTCTCTCTGTTGTTGCCTCCACAGTCCATGTGGCTTCTGTGGGTAGAAGGCCTGGAGAAGTCTGGGGTTCTCTCATAAGTGCTTGGCATGATCATCTCTTTGCAGCCGTTTGGCTGGGTGTGAGATTTGGGTTTGGGCTTTAGGGTAGGTGGAGGCCCCCCTTGATCCTCTGGCCTAAGCTCAACTAAGTAAGGAGGCCCTTTCTTTCCTTTACTATGGTTTTCTGTTTATATGTCTCCTTTGGGTATCTCACAGGGAGGAGAGATGCTTGGGCCCATCTAGCATTCAGGCATTCTTGGATTACCCAGCACAGCGTTTCCCAATGTGCTCTATTTACATTGTAAGCCAGATCATTCTTGGTTGTGGGAGCTGTCTTATACGTTATAGGATCCCTGTTCTCTACCTATTATATGCCAGTAGTACTCACAAATTGTGACAATCACGATTTTCTCCAGACATTGCAAAATTACCCTCAGTCGTGAACCACTGCTTTAGCCAAATGCTTTCTAATAGCATGAGTCCTACAATTAACCCTTAAATGTTCACAGTACTCCAAACTTTATAATATACACACTATTAGCATACAACAGGGTCTCACATTGCCCATAAAAGCTTCCCACTTTGCACTTGGTTCTCTTCAGTCTTATACTTTCATTTAAGTAAACTCTTTCCTGGCCTGGCATATGCTTTCTTATGCACAGGGCCAGATCCTCACGTGTGGCAGGAAACATGAAATTATTCTTTGGTGTTGACTTGATGGCCTCTGCCCTTTAACTCTCTCAGTAAATTGGCAACAAGTGGCTTCTATTCTCTCTGACAGATATTGATAAATAATATATCCATTCACTTGTGGCCAAAAATAAATTTTATATATCCATCACAATTTAGAGGCCCACCAGTGAAGACTTTGTGAACTACCAGTGTGCCATGGCATGCCAGTTGACAACTTTTAAACATTTTTCCTGGATGACCATCTCTAATTATATTCTGAAGATTACTGAATCTATTTCTGACTCAGACCTCTATGTGGACACCCAGATAAACCTAAACACAAAGATAACTCATAAGCCTCCCACTCCATGTTTTCGAAACAAAGTTTATAATATTTTACTCCAAATCTAATCATCCTATGTTATTAGGGAATATACCCATGCCATCACAGAAGCCAGAAACCTAAAAGTCTTTCCTAACTTCTCCCATTCTCCTACCCGCTACAGCCCGTCCATTGCCAAGTCTTTTCAGAGTGTTCCTCTCTGTTTCACCACAACTTCTTTAACTCAAGTCTACAGGTATTCTCACCTGTAAGGCTGCAAAAGTCCTCCTAGTCTCTGAGACTCCAGGCTCGTCTCCATCCATCCATCCTTCATAGTACTGCCAGTGGGCTTCCTAAAATGCAAATCTAACCATATCATGCCCTTGCTTGAAGTCCTTCATTAGCTTGCTTTCCGTGTCAAATTATAATCCTGAAGCTCAGCACACAAGCCCCTTGTGACCTGGCCTTCACCTACATCTCTACCCTCACATCCCGCCATTTTCCAACATTCTCCAGAGGCTCCAGCAACACCAAACTACTTGAAACTCCAAACTTTCTATGTTGCTTCTTGCCTCTGTACCCTCGCATTGCTCCTTCATTGGCCTGAGATGCACTTGCATCTCTCTTCCTTTTCTAGCACCTACATAATTGTTGTTTTTAAAAAATTTTTCAGAATAATATGGGGGGTATAAACACTTTGGTTACATGAATTGCTTTTGTATAGTTTGAGTCAAAGTTATAAGTGTGACCATCACCCATATATAGTGTGCATTGTACCTGTTAGGTGTGAATTTACCCATCCCTTCCTCCCTCCCACCTACTTGATTTCGGTTGAATTTTACTACCGTATGTGCACATGAGTGTTGATTTATAAGTTTCAGTTTAGTAGTGAGTACATGTGGTTTTTGTTCTTCCATTCTTGTGATACTTCATTTAAAACAATGATCTCCAGTTCCATCCAGGTTGTTAAAAAGGTATTATTTCACCATTTTGTTAATGGCTGAGTAGAACTCCATATACCACATTTTATTGATCCACTCATGTATTGATGGGCACTTGCGTTGTTTCCACATCTTTGTGATTGTGAATTGTGCTGCTATAAACATTTGAGCACAAGTGTCTTTTTTATAAAAATGTCCTTTTTTTCCTTTGGGTAAATACCCAGTAGTGGGATTGCTGGATCAAATAGTAGGTCTACTTTTAGTTCTCTGAGGTACTGCCATACTACTTTCCATAGAAGTTGTACTAGTTTGCAGTCCCACCAGCAGTGTATAAGTGTTCCTTCCTCTCTGCATCCACACCAACATCTGTTGTTTTGGGACTCTTTGCTAAAAGCCATTCTCACTGAAGTTAGATGATATCTCATTGTGGTTTTGATTTGCATTTCCCTGATGATTATAGACATGGAGCATTTTTCAAATGCTTATTGGCCATTCATCTGTCTCCTTTTGAAAAGCTTCTGTTCTCTTTTGCCCACTTTTTAATGGGGTTGTTTGATGTCTTCTTGCTGATTCGCTTGAGTTCTTTGTAGATTTCAGTGATTAGCCCTTTATCAGAGGTATATCTTGCATATATTTTCTCCCATTCTGTAAGCTGTCTATTCGCTCTAATGATAGTTTTCTTGGATATCCAGAAGCTTTTTAATTTAACCAGGTCCCATTTATTTGTTTTTGTTGTTGCTGGGATTGCCTTTGGGGTCTTCTGCATAAATTCTTTGCCTAGGCCATTATCTATAAGAGTTTTTCTGACCTTTTCTTCTAGAATTCTTATAGCATTATGCTTTAGGTTTAAGTCTGTTGTTCATCATGGATTAATTTTTGTGAGTGGTGAGAGGTATGGATCCTATTTCAGTCTTTACATGTGGCTATCCAATTTTCCCAGCACCATTTATTGAATAGGAATTCTTTTCCTCAGTGTATGTTTTTGTCTGCTTTGTCAAAGATCAGATGGCAATATGATGATGGTTTTATATCTGGGTTCAGTGTTCTGATCCATTGGTCTAGGTCTCTGTTCTTATGCTAGTAACATGCTGTTTTGGTTACTATAGCCTTGTAGCATAGCTTGAAGTCTGGTAAAGTGATGCCTCCCAGTTTGTTCTTTTTGCTTAAGGTTGTTTGGACTATTCAGGGTCTTTTCTGATTCTATACAAAATATAGAATTACTTTTTATAGATCTGCAAAAAATGACATTGGTACTTTAAAGGGATTGCATTGCATTTGTAAATCACTTTGGGTAGTATAAACATTTTAACAATGTTGATTCTGCCAACCATAAGCATGATGTGTTTTTCCACCCGTTTACATCCTCTGCAATTTCCTTCCTCAGTGTTTTGTAGTTCTTCCTGTAGCAGTCTTTCACCTCCTTGGTTAGAAATATTCCTAGGTATTTTATTTTCTTTGTTGCTATTGTGAAAGGTATTGCATTTTTGATTTGATTCTCAGCTTGACTCGTGTTAATGTATAGGAATGCTTCTGATTTGTGTACATTGATTTTGTCAGACCATTATCCCTTACGAATATGGAGGTAAAAATTCTCAATAAAATCAGCAAACCAAATTCAGCTGCACATCAAAAACATAATCTAGCACAATCAAGTGGGCTTCATCCCAGAGATGCAAGTATGGTTCAACATATCAAATCTATAAATGTGATTCATCACATAAACAGCAGCAAAAACAAAGATGATATGATCCTCTCAATAGATGCAGAAAAAGCATTTGACAAAATTCAGTGCCCTTTTATGATAAGAACTCTTAAGAAAATAGGCATAAATGGAACACACATCAATATTATAAAAGCCATATATGACAAACCCACAAACAATGTCATACTGAATGGGGAAAAACTGATAGCATTCCTGCTTAGAACTGGAACCAGACAAGGTTGCCCACTGTCACCACTTGTGTTCAACATAGTGTTGGAAGTCCTAGTCAGAGCAATCAGGCAAGAGAAGGAAATCCAGGGTATCTAAATGGGGAAAGAAGAGATCAAACTATTGCTCTTTGCTGACGATATGATCTTATATCTAGAAAATCCCAAAGATTCTGCCAAGAGACTCCTAGAATTGATGAATAAACTCAGCAAAGGGTCAGGTTACAAAATCAATGTATATATAATTGTTCTTAAAACTTAGCTCTAAAACTGCTTCCTCAGAGAAGCCCTCTGGGCTCTATACTCCTCAATGTCCCACCTATGCCCTTAATACATAACCGTGAGCTCCCTGGGGGTAGAAACTATGTTTTGTTCATATTTGTATTTTCACAACTCAGCACTGAGCCTGGTATGAGCTCAGTAACTGCCAAAAGACTGGCTGAGGGAAAATATGTGTTCTTCAGCCTGAAGTTTATACAAAGCCTGACACCAACCACACTGGCAGACCTAAATATCTTAATTAAAGAGTGAAAAAGTGATCGAAGCTTTAGGAGAATCCATGACTATAAAGCAATACTGTGTTTGGTGTCTTTGACACTGTACAAGAGGCCAGTGACCTACCACCCACTCCAACAGCTGCCTGTGGTGCCAAACAAACAGAGGTTAGCCAAACAGTGCTATGTATCATCAGGTGCTCCTCCTCCTTCTTGTAAGGAGGAGTGCATGCTCCAGTTTCAGAAAAAAAGTAATCTGCCTTCTCTCCTTGGTCATTCTCTAGAAGGACGTTAGAAGAGCTCTATTAGAAAAGCTACAATGTAATTAAAGGAAATTGTCATTTGACAGAAGCTGTCAGCTCAATCCACTTCTGTGGCTACTGGCCTTGCCCTGCTGAGAGCAGTGAATCAGGCTCAAGAGTGGGGCTGCTCACCCCTTTCCAGAGGAGCATTCCCCCACTCAGAAGCCTACCACTGTCTGGGAATTTGGCCCATTTGCACATTTCAATTCTCTTTCTTTTTAGAGGGAGGAGGCAGGATGGAAGTTCCCCTTACGAACTGCACAGTGAGCCCATCTGACTCCCATACTCTGACTTTCTATTTGCATCCACCAGTCCTTACATTTCATTTACCTACCAATCCACAGCTTTCCCTTCTTCATTTCTGCACGATATTTTTGTTGCCTCCAGCACCTCAAAAAGGGCAAGGAAGAGCAAAGCAAGGGGTGTTTTCAGAAGTCTTGCTGTCATTTTCTATCTGTCTCCTTTATTTCAAGCCACAGCAGGAAACTTTCCCCATAGACTGGGGAGTCTGAGTTTCAGGTCTCTCTCAGGCTGTGCCGGCTTTGACATTTGAGTCCTTTTACCTCTGCTGTTCGCTGTTCAGGCACTTTCAGAATGGGATGAATCCCATGTAATTGTGTGATCTGTCACAACATGCCAGCGTGACTCTGGATGTCTTTGTGCCGAACTGTTGACTGGTTTGCAAAGTCATCAGAAAGTTCTGGAGAGAAAAAAAATGGATATGTTGTTAACTCTTTGGAGTGAACATTGTGTGTGAAATTCAGTGGACAGGGGAACTTCATGTTGATAAGTAGATGTTAAATTAAATATATTTCATGGTTTTTCTTCTCTCCTGTTTGACTCTCTATGAATGAGAGCAAATGCATGTGGCTCACACATTAAACAGAAATGACAAAACCTTATGTCTTAGTAATAATTAGTAGCTGTCATTTATAATAATCTTTCTCTTAAGGAAACTGTTGTAAAGGGTACTTCAAAGTAAGAGCAAATTCAATTGTTTTTTTGCCAAAGATATTTACATATCCTCTCCACCTCCCTGTTTTTAGCCACTCAATGTGGTGCTTTACTTTAAAGAGGCCTTGGTGTCCAATTGGCTGCTATGCAATCAGGTAAACATATTGATCGTCCACTCTTCAGGTTAAATAAAAACTATTTCAAACATCTGTTTTGCCCAAATTATTCTTTCTCATTTTTGAAACTGATTCTGAAGCTGAGGGTCAAGAGAAAATGGCCCATTACAATAACGAGTATAAAAAGGTGAGACCAATCTCTTTTTGAAGGAGGGAAGGAGTGGATAGACATATGAAAAGAATTTCTTTAATGCATGATGATTTTGAATAAATAATTAAAGATGCTGTGAGAATAAATAGCAGTTTGTTTCATGCCTGAAAATCATGATGGCTCTAATCTGTCCCTCTAATGATGGATCCAGACCTTTGTAAATCAGACCACTTCTCGGGTTGTGCTGGAGTTGGTCAGGATTCTTAAGGTTATAGGAAAAGGAGGGGGCATGTGGCTGTGTTTCTCCTAAAACAGAGTTTTGTGAGGAGTACTCTAGCCCACATTCCCACATTGCTTGTGGTGCCTGCAAAACAGGCAGAATACTGGGCATTATCCCAAACCTGCTAAACCAGAATCTTTCCAGCTGAGCACAGGAATCTCTGTTTTTAATAAGCTTATTAGTGATGCTGGTGTGCCCCAAATTTTGAGACTCTTTGCCCCGAGGCTAAGGCTATGCTGTATCTGGTAGATTCACAGCCTTCTACAGGGAGCAGACCAAATTGGCTAAACCAAGAAACATTTTTCTTGCTATTCCTCCATGGATAATCATTTTGTTTTATATATGTTTTTATTTTGTTCAGAAAAAAGAATTTCAACAACCTGAACCTTTTTGGCAATTTAAAAAAAATTTTTTTTTTTTTTTTTTGAGACAGAGTCTCGCTTTGTTGCCCAGGCTAGAGTGAGTGCCGTGGCGTCAGCCTAGCTCACAGCAACCTCAAACTCCTGGCTCAAGCAATCCTCCTGCCTCAGCCTCCCAAGTAGCTGGGACTACAGGCATGTGCCACCCTGCCCGGCTAATGTTTTGTATATATTAGTTGGCCAATTAATTTCTTTCTATTTATAGTAGAGACGGGGTCTCGCTCTTGCTCAGGCTGGTTTCGAACTCCTGACCTTGAGCAATCCGCCCGCCTCGGCCTCCCAGAGAGCTAGGATTACAGGCGTGAGCCACCGCGCCCGGCCAATTTAAAAAAATTTTATCACGTGAAGTTCTCTATTAAAGTGAAATAAAATTAATTAAATTAATTAATTTATATTTTACCTTGTGAAACTTTTTGTTATAATGGGAATAGCTGCACACACCCGAGTAGGATTCATTGACTCATTTAGAGAATATAAGCAACTTGTTTTCAGTTACGTAGACTAAAGACAGTTTTTTGAATAGGATAAAATAATTTTTGTTTTCCTCTCCTTATTACATGCTTAGCATAGTGCCTGGTCATAGTAAATGATTCATTGATTCACAAATGTTAGCTGAGATTATTCTTACTACAACCTGAGCTCTTCCTATAAGGTGGCTGTGGACATTGTATTAGGATGGTGTTTGCTAAATCCAATTTTATTTCAAGGTCTGGAAAGACAAGGTTAGGTTGGTTTCTTTCAGATGTCTTAACTCCCATTGTTTTGGACCTGATCATGCTGGTTGTCAGTCAAAAACCTTTCTTAAACAATCACTACTGTGTCTAACACTGTACCAGGCATTGAAAGTCTCCAGGGGTTTCAATATTACCATTAAGCCTAGATTCTAGTGTGTCCTGGTTTTCACTAAAAGCAGCAAAGTAATTTAGAAAGAAACCCATGAATTTGGTAGATGAAGAAAATGCAAACTGGACAAAATGTTTTTTACCATATTACTCGCTTTTGAGGCCTGAGTCATTATTATTCAATATTATGAAAATATCATGTGTACTGATTACCTCTAGAAATAGAGGAGGATGCCTTTATTGTAACTTGGCCAAATACTCTAAGTGAACAAGTAAGAATTCTTTGAATGGGCCTCTTTTTTATGGTTGAAGGTTTGCATTCAAGTCATTGAATAATTCTGGAAAATCTCAGTTTTAATCTTTTCAAATAGTGCCTCTTCTACATTCTCTTTATCATCTCTTTCTAGTACATTTTATGTGTCTTTCATTTCCTGTAGCTCCTTGTGCATCTACATTAATCCTTGATTCTTTATTTGGACCCATCTTCCAGTTCTCTAATTCTTTAGCAACACTAATTTAGCAACATTAATTTGCTGTTTAATCTATCTCTTTTAAACAACTAATTTTTTTCTTATTTTTATAATTCCATCAACATTTTAATTGTAAATTGACAGTTTATCATTGTATATATTTTAATTCTTTTTGAATTATGTTTAATCTGTTTCTTAATCCACTTATTAATGCATTTATAGAAGTTCTATTTTTTTCCCAAATTTACTTGGTCTTTCTTATAGTCTCATTTCTTGCTCATATGCTCAATCTCCTCCTTTATTCTGTGAAAATATTAAATATATTATTTTATATTTTTGTATCTAATTCTAATATATGAAATATTTGCAGGTCAGACTTTGCTATCTATAATTTCTGCAATTCTTTCTCATGATACCTTTCTAATGTATGTGTGCTTGAGTTTTGGCTGTGAGTTCATATTCCTTGAACTTTATCTGTGAGAATTTTTTGAGATTGAGCTAAAGTTGGGTTTCTCCGGAGCCTGGTCTGTACTGGCTTCAACAAGGTTCAGTCATCCTCTGAGGACTCCTTGGAGTCGGGCTGCTGGCTTTATTTCTTTATTTTCAATACCTTTTGAAGTATGATTTATGTACCATAGCATTTATCTGTTAAAATTTAGCTTTATTTTTGTTCAAACTTTTACAAGACTGTTGATGGACTAAGTAAAATCCAGAAGTTGACATACTGAAGGAAAATGTTGATGTACTTGTGGGAGAAAGGGGAGAGGACTTGAATAGTTTTGATGGAAAGAAATGAGGCAAGCAAATGACTCAGGTATTCATAGAATAAAGAATTATTCATGGGCAAGGTGATCAAAGGAAAACATAAGTACAATAAGTGGAAGAGGACTAGAAAATTATACTTGGTTGATTCCTTCTTATCCTTCAGGTTGCTTTGAGAATGCCAGCTCTTCCTGGAAGCCACCCTTGAGCTCTCCTAATCTGGTTTAGGGGTCCCTGCAATATACTCCCAGAGCTCACTGTGTTTTGTTAATTAGAGTAATTATTACAACGTGTTACTAATTACTCGGTTACTTTTCTGAGTCTTCCTCTAGAAAGCAGGAGTCAGAAAACTCCAGTGGGCCAAACCTAGCCCACTGCCTCTTTTTGTAAATAAAATTTTATTGGAACACAGCCAGACCCATTCATTTATGTATTCTATATAGCTACTTTTATGCTATAATGACAGAGTAGAGTAGTTGCAACAGAGACTCTACAGCCTGAAGATCATAAAACATGAACTAGTTAGTTCTTTATAGAAGTTTGTTCTAGTATATAATCTCTGTGAGGGCAGAACAGTGTCTGCCTTGCTGTGTCTTCAGCACATACCACAGTGCTTGTCTCCTAGAAGGAGCCAAATAAATGCAAGTGAATGTATGGACTGAAAGGTTTCAGAGACTTCTATTTTGGGATTATGTGGAATTTTGTATGAGTTAAATCTAATCAGAAAAATAAGTAAAAGTGGATATGTAGTAGGTAGAAGCCCACTGGAAAGAATTTTTAAATATGTAAATTAAGTATTTATTAAACCGTGGGAAGGCCATGGATCTCATCAGCAAACTACAGGAAAATTTTCCAGCAGGTTGAATATGGAAAGGGAAGGAATCGAATTAACCCACAACACAAAATAATACACTTTTAACTCAAAAGAGCCTACACTGTAGCAGTCCACAAGAGAGGGTTTAGTTTCATCAAAACACCACCATTCATACTGTCAAAATAATATTGAAACTTTATTAGTATACTGTAGTTATATTGTTTTAGAGAAATTATAAGCATCAGAAGTTTAAACTGAACCTAGTGTGGATTTGAATACATTTTAGAAAATTATAATAAAAATAATCATGTCAACACTTGCAGTCTGTCCTTACTTGGGTTTCTTTTAAGAGAGGTTTATTGTTTCCTAAAGTTTGAGAAACTCCTTTTAGGGTCTCTCCCTCAAGCTAAGGGCTGCTTTACAGGTTCTGGGAACCCATTTTCATGGACCCCCTGGCTTTCATCTCCCGGGGCTCCCACAGGCCAGATGCACGGGACAACATTTTCCTAATTCAGTTTCTACCTACACTTCCACTTAGCCCCAACATCAGTGGCGTCTAAATGACTGTCGCCAGCCCTCAGGCTTTACAAAATCCTCTCAAACTCACATCCACACCACCGATCCCACGTCCTCTGCCTCATGGGTCCCCCACTCGTGTTTCCCTCCTTGGAGCAGTTTCCCAGCCTTGCCTGACCCTAACCACTTGTTAAAAACACAGACTTCCAGACTGTTCTTCTGGAAATTCCAGATGTCTAGAGATAAGGCCCAGGGGATCTGCATTTTAACAAATGTCCCAGAAAGGTCTTACCAGCAGGCAGGTTTGAGGAACAGGGCTCTCAGGCTTCCTCGGCTCCCCATGCTTCTTCCCCGAGGGTACCTTGTGGCTCATAGGCCAAGTCGGGTCAGTAACTGGCTTGGTGACCTTCACTGGGGCCAGGTTCCTAGCCTGCTGGCTGCGGGGCAGATCCCAAGTGGAGGCCAGTTAGCATCCGTACTTCTCTGTTTTAGTGGACCAAGCTGTAGCCAAGACACTTTTTGGCAGATCACCATTTCCTTGCCATCATCTTTGACTGCTTCAGTGCCCAATAAACGTGTTTTCCCAGTAACAGACCAGGAAAGGAATTGTCTGAATCAAAATACGGCCTGTACAACATCCTTTCCTTGGGTAAAACCCAGACTCCTGAGGGTGGCATTCAAGGCCATTCATCATTTCAGCCTCACTGTTTGCCACTTGCCCTCTACACTCCAGTATTTTCCAGTGTGCCCTGTTCTAAAAAAATTTTCCCCTCCCTTCTGCGCCCTGGAAAGAATTTTGCCATAATGTTTAAAGTAAGGGGGGGCAGCTAGGTGTAGTGAAAAGAACCAGGCGGACCTGGGTTCCATGCCTGGCCCTGCCTCTCATTAGGTGCATGGTTTTGATCCAACTTTTTAACCTTAGTGAGTTTCGGCTTTCTTTTCTAATGGTGGGACCATGATTTCTACTTTCAGAGAGTGCTGTCAGGATTCAGTGAGAAGCTATGTGCACATCTCCTGGCACATAACTGATGCTCATTAAATGCTGGTTCCTTCTCACCTTGCTTTCTTTTCTTACGTGACAAAGTTATTTCCTTTTCCTTGCAGAGAGACTAAAAACAGGCCTTTGGTGATAATGGTTTTTACTAAAAACAGTCTTTGGCAATATGATTTTAAATAACCACAAATAATCCCACATTACTCATGTTTCCAATAGCCTTTATCCAGAAAAAAGTCAATGTTCAACTCAAATGAGTGCCCTGTTGTTGAAGGCATGAGGCTGAACTTTCATCCTGCTCCAAAGGGCAACCACCCTTTGATTCTCCCGCTGCTTTACAGCTGAAACATTCCCACCATAAACGCAGAATCCATCCGAGTTCATAATCCCCTGTAGTTTAAAAAAATGAGTGCTAGAAAAAGGGATGATTTGGGCAGGGGTAGCTCTTGTTGTGGGTTAAATTCTACCTAGTCCAGTGCCTCTTCAGTCTAGCGGGACTGTTTCCACTGTACGGATCTGCCTGTCAGCTGTGTGATTTTGGGCAGCTCATTTAACATCTCTGAGCTACTTTATCTTAGAATACGATTCTCTCTACCAAATCATAGGGTGGTTGTGAGGAACAGAAAAGATAATGTAGGTACCAGTGGGTGGAAACGTAAACAATGGTAAAATGGTATGTAAATGCAAGTTTCTACAGCAGCAGGGCCTATTCCCTTTGTTGGAATCAGAGTGAATGCTTCCTTTTTCTCCCTAATGAATGGAGGGGCCAGCCATGCAGCAGAGTGCAGGGACGGTGATGAAGTGGGAAAGAGCATGTCATCTGGGGTGCATGGACTGGGCTCTCATACTGCCTGTATCGCCTAGTAACCATGTGACCTCGGTAGGTTCCCCAACCCTCGTGTCTTCCTCTGTCAAAGTTGGATAATAATACCTATATCAGAGGGCTTGTAAAGGATTAGAGGAAATAACATATGCAAATTTCCCAACACATCTCAAACCTTTATTTATTTATTTTTTTTTTGAGACAGAGTCTCGCTTTGTTGTCCAGGCTAGAGTGAGTGCCATGACGTCAGCCTAGCTCACAGCAACCTCAAACTCCTGGGCTCAAGCGATCCTTCTGCCTCAGCCTCCCAAGTAGCTGGGACTACAGGCATGCGCCACCATGCCCGGCTAATTTTTTATATATATATATATATCAGTTGGCCAATTAATTTCTTTCTATTTATAGTAGAGACGGGGTCTCGCTCTTGCTCAGGCTGGTTTTGAACTCCTGACCTTGAGCAATCCGCCCGCCTCGGCCTCTCAAGAGCTAGGATTACAGGCGTGAGCCACAGCGCCCGGCCTCAAACCTTTAATAAATGGTTGCTGCTATCACTTTTATTTTCAAGACTTATGCATGAGGAAACAGACATCTTTCGATGCATGCACTTTAGTAAATTTTATTCCAACTGAATGTTTGGAGATCTTCATCAATTCTTTATTGTGGGATTTTCTGCTCCCAATCTTAGAAGCTCCTGTGAGCCTCGTTCCAGGTTCCCTGCCCTAAGGCTGTTGGTGCTGTGGAAAGGCTGGCAAAAAAATTACAATAGCATCTCTACTGGCATTTAGTGATGAATTTCTTTCTTGGTAATAGGCAGAAGAAAGTGAGCACCTGTAAATGGAGTCTTTATTAGTTAAAAGGTTACTCTTTCTACCATAATTATGCAGACAAATTTTTTACTGTTTTTGAAACATCTACTTGACAAATCTCTTTAGAGTCTCTCTTTGAACATAATGCTAATCCTCCTCCTTCATAGCAATAATAAGCCACTCTACTGGTTACAGCAACATGACATTCTCTACTGGATATCAATATTTTCCTATCTAACATTTAGTAGATCCTAGGCAGCCAAAAAATACCAGCTGCCTCTAAGATTATTATTCATCGTTATTGTTCTTATCATTATTATGTATCATTAAGATCCACCAAAGTGATATTAAAATTGTTCATATAAGCACTCATTTTTCTCCTATTAGTTCAGTATTTTTCTGTGAAGTTTTTTTGTTCATGGATGCCTAAGAAACTAGCAGGCAAACTAGCTGGGCAAAGAATTGGGAGAACTTTTCCAGCACATTGCCAAGACAAAGAGAGAGGCTGTCTCCATGAATAATTCTTTCCTCTACCGTGGCACCCTGCAACTGAATTGATGTTTATATATGTGCGATAAGTCCTAAATCATTAGCATTTTTGTATTTTTCTCTATAATAGAGGGTATAGTTGATGCTTAGAGAAGCTATTCTAAGACTTTAGAGAAAATTCTAGTTGTTTAAAATTTAAATTTATTGAACTTTCTCTTATCTTTCCTAATACTTTTCCAATAGTTTTTCTGTAATTAAAATCTATGTATATGAACAGACATTTGGTGAATATACACTTATATAAAATCAAAATTCATATTTTAGTATTGGAAAAAGCAAACATTAAAAACAACAATAACCTTAAATAAAATATTTTCCTTTCCCAGCAGAGTAGAGAAATTCAATGGTTGAAGTATGGCATACTAGAACACAAAACTGTAGCTAAAAGAAGCCACTAAAAAGAAGAATTTTGCACAAAAAATAAAAAATGAATGTGAGCTACAGGTTTAACACATTGACTGTCATACTAGAAAAAAATTTTTTTCCTTGAGACCACAATGTTTTATTATGAAAGTAGAATAAATAGTTTGAAAATAAAATGATTCTTTCTAATTTAATGAAAAATTTGTTATGTTTTATTGTTTTCTGTGCGTGAATTATATGCAACTTGAAAAATAGTTCATACCACTCCCAAGGTAAAGAGATGTGTGAGCTACATATGCTTCACCAGGCCCCGGGCTCAAACTATCATGAGTTAACTATAACTCACATGGCAGTTAATGTGTTAAATAGTTGGAAACTATGCCATAATATTACTATTCCTGATAATATTTAATAATATAGAGGCCCATGGGTAGTTTCACGAGGATTTTAATTTTCTGAGAATAATTTGAGCTCACAAATGATACAAACAAACCTTGTTTCTTTTATTTGTAATAGTTCTTATAGGAAAATATAGACTGATCTGGGTCTCCCTGTAATCTGCCACCTCGTTTTGTAACCAGAAAATATGAACCTGAAGCTGAATTAGTAAGAGTGACTTAGTGCTGGAAACAATGTTTTTCCTACTTAAATAAAAATGACCTGAATTTTCTGAAGTAACCTGCAAAACGAGGGAGCTTATTCCATGGACAAATGATCTATGACAATTTTCAAAGCACTGTCAAGTGCTGTGATGAATGTAAGGATGATGTGATCTTACCTTTAAGACATTGACACCGAGAATACTGAGACGTGTACACAAATAAGAATAATGAAAAAAGAAAGTGACCTCAACAGCTAGTAACTGTTCAGTTACTGGGCAGGGTGGCTCATGCCTGTAATCTTAGCATTCTGGGAGGCTGAGGCAGGTGGATCGCTTGAGCTCAAGAGTTCGAGACCAGCGTGAGCAAGAGCGAGACCTCGTCTCTACCAAAAATAGAAAGAAATTAGCTGGACAACTAAAAATATATGTAGAAAAAATTAGCCAGGCATGATGGTGCATGCCTGTAATCCCAGCTACTCAGGAGGCTGGGGCAGACAGATTGCTTGACCCCAGGAGTTTGAGGTTGCTGTCAGTGAGGCTGACCCTATGGCACTCTAGCCCTAGCAACAGAGTAAGACTGACAATTTGTCTCAAAAACAACAACAACAACAACAAAACCCAGTCTGTAACTGTTCACCAAAAGTGCACTGGGAGTTCACAGGCAAGAGATGTTATTTCCTGTTGGGGGCATCAGGGAGGTCCGATGCAGGATGAGCCATCATACATGGAGAGAGAGCATTCTAGGTAGGAGAGAAAGCCTTCTAGGTAGATGGGGAAAGTGTTGGCTGGTGGTTTAAAATCAGAGACTTGAAGTAAAATCCTGCAGAGAAATGTACTTCTTTCTGCCTTAGTCCTTAACTAGAATATGTGGAAATTCATTTGGTATCTGGTATATGAATATTGTTATTAAAAGAAAGCATGGCTAAATGCAAGGAGCTAGCAAGTATGGCATATGGGTGGAGAAGAGTATTAGCTTTATATAAATATTTGCCATCAATGTATATAAGCAGCTAGGATTAATTTAAAATATTATTAATGTTGAAAGAAATTTGTTTTATTAGTAGCACATCCACAGCACAAAACAATGCACACTGATATGGGGGCCTGTCTTCTTTAACAAAAAGAAAAGCAAACCTATCTCCCTATCACTTGGCAATTTAACTGATATCAAATATACTTTTGGTGAAATTGGCAGGCCAGATAACAATAATAGCAAACATTTACTGACACTTACTGTGTGCTAGTCACAGTTCTAAGCTTTTACTTTCAACCCTGCAACAGTGATAGGAAATAGGTGCAATCATTATCCTATTTTACAGATCAAAAGGGGAAGGACAAAAAGATTCAGTAACTTGCATGGGGCCATACAGCTAGCAAGTGGTAGAGCCAGAATTCAAACTCAGGAAGCCAGAGCCTTGAGCCTTAACCTTTCCCTTGTCTTTCCCATGTATCCAGGTGGTTGTACCGTGAGAAGGACCAAGCATCTCCCTCTCACTAGCTCGTGGCTAGTTGTTAGACCATAGCAAAGTCAGTTTGACCAAAGCGGCCGGAACAATTTGGAGCCCAGTTATACAGAGCAAAGGTTCTTAACCTTTCATTCTTTTTTGGAATCCAGTGAAATTCTATGAATGCTCTCTCCCCAGTAAAATCCATCCCCCAAACACATAAAGTTTCAGTTACAACTTCATGCAGTACACAGTTCTGCCTCAAATCCATCTACTGGGCCTCCTAAGGTTAACAGATTCCAGGCTAAGAACCCCTAGACCTATGTCACTTTCAATATAGTCTGAAAATAAGAGAACACTCAGTATCTTATTGTAGAAGTGGACATTATTAAGAGTCATTTAAAATCCCTGAGCGTGCTCTCCAGCCTCACTTGCAGAGAAGTAATTATTCTCTATCCCTTTATACTCCAAGACGTGTATTTTTCTTGTGCAGAGTCAGGTAAAGATTTATTCCTGCTGATATTTTGTCCAGAGTATTACTCTAGGAAATTGAGTTTCCTTTTGTAACTTTGTTTCCTCAAGCTACACAAGCCTAGGAATGACAACCAGAAGTGTGGACGTGAGAGATCGTGAAAATTTAAATAAGGCCAAGGTACCTGGAGGAGAGGGGGAGGCAGAAGTAGGCCTCCTCATAGCAGCAGCCCTTTGATTTTGCCCACCACAGCTCTGGATTCATGTGCACCCAGGGCATTTATTGATAACTGGAAAGATCCTTAACACAAAATTCGATATATAATTTTTATTTATCAATGATAATTATAGCTGACATTAGTTGAACACTTACTATTTGCCAGGCACTTTTCTAAGTGCTTTATGATTTTTTTCCTCATGTAATCCTCATGTCAGCCTGAGAGCTGGACACTACTACTATGCTCATTTTACAGATGGAGAAATTTGCCTCCATTCAGAGCTAACAGGTGGCAGAACAAGGGTTGCGTGACTCCGAAGCCCAGAACCCATCATTTCAGCCACCTCCTCCCGTGCCCTCCCTGTCCCATCAAGAGGGCAACCTTTGTATTTCACAGTACGGTTCTCCTGGAAGTGGATCTCTGCACCACGCTCTGCGTTTTACACAATGGGGGTCTGACGCCTACTTCTAATTTCTCTGACCACAGAACTAGGGGACAACAGCCTCAGTGCTGGTCCAGGCCATTATCTGTTCTGTCGAGTCCTGCTAAAAGACTCTTGTAGGTGTCCCACATGGGACTTGTTGCATCTTGCTCCAGGCTCAGATGCTTAGCTGTCCTTTTTATTCTGACTCATTGCTCTGTAAACTCGATCACTCAGGCTTTACTCAAGTGCCAAGCTCTGCTTAGCTGGGATCCTGCTAGGGAGCGCTGACCTCGCCCGCGTGTGTCTCATGT